CGGATGTTTGTGAGGTTTCTCAGATGCACTGCCCTCTACCCGCTCATATTTTCCATTATGCAAGCGCCGCTCTTGCCTGTCAGTGGCTGGGCAGGGTGGGAGAGCTGCAGCGATGCCCACCGGTATCCGGGCGTGAGGGGCAGGGGGGGACCAGCACGGGGTGGGCTAGCGTGGGATGTCTGCCAGCAGGATGCTCGGGGACCAATGTGGCTGTAGACAGAGAAGCACGAGCTCACTTCTAAAAAGCAGCTGAAGGTCGTGACTGCTGGAGGATGAGGTGTAGGGGGGATCGCTCTTCTTCTGAGAGCTCCTTTCCCTCATTCCTCTCCTCCCCATTAATCCTCCGTCCCCTTTCGATGGCCTGAGCAGTGCCTCGTGGCACCACATAATGGCATGCCAGGACCAGTGCCTTTCAAGGATTCCCCCCGCACTGGGGAAGGGGGATTTGGGGTCCTGCAATGGCAGCAGGCTACATCCTCGGGGAGCGTGGATGCAGTTGAGCCTGCAGGGCTGTGGCACCCCCCGGGCACCGAGCCCCCTGGCTACTGGGTCCTGGAAGAGCTCTGCCATATCACAAAGCCTGATAAGGTTTCCAACCGATTCCAGCCCACGGGGTGCCCAGCAGATGCTGGTGGCCCCACAGCCGGGCTGTTTGCAGGGCTGCCAGCTCTCTCCTGCTGTCCTGGCACCTGACGGCTCAGGAGGGAGATGAGCTCTGGCCCGAAAGGACCCTGGCATGTGCCCGGTGGGCTGCTGCATTTGGAGGAGGGCGACTGCCCGGGATGTTGCTGGTGCAATGCAGGTTGGTGCGTTGGCGGGTGTTCGGTCCCCTCTCCTCCTCCCCAGGCAAGGCATCATGTAGCCATGGGACCAAGCAGATTCCAACAGGAGTAGTGTAGGGCTGCAAGCCGGGTGGGCAGCCAATGTGGTGCCCACCAGCCATATGTGCCAGCATTCCTGAGTAACTCAGCCTTCCTGGCTCTTCTCCAGCAGCTCCTTTGCTGTCCAAGCTGATCCCAGCAGGAAAACCCTCCCACCCCAGCTGTGGTCAAACCTGGCTGCACTATGGGCTCTTCCTGGGGATGGCAGTGGCAGAGGTGTGAGAGTGGGAGGGGGGTTCAAAGCAGCATCCTGGGGCTCTGCCTTAGGGCTGAGGGAAAAGCCGGCATTTCGAGGTGCACCCATGGCCTGGAAGAAGCCATGCTGGGGTGTGGTCCTGGAGGGAGGCAAGCTCCCCCAGGCTGTGCTTCAAGCCCCCTTGCCTGTGCCAAGCACACAGCCAGCCTGCAGCATGATGGCCCCTGGGGACCAGCCCGGTCCTGTCAGGGCACATTGCTGGTGGCTGGCCATCCTCCCAGGGCTATTTTTAGCTGTGTCCCTTCCAAGGCCCCGGTGCCACTTGCCCTCCACCAGCTGTGGCTGAGCCAGAGGTGGCAGTTTCTCTGCATACCCTGGGTGGTTTTGTTCTTGCCTTCACCTCTCCACTCTGCATCTCCGGGACCCCCTGGTGCTGGGCACATCCCAGGTGGTGCTGAGCCCACTGGGCTGGAGAGAGCAGGGAGGGTCCCTGAGATGGGGCAGAGCCCCACAGAGGGGAGCCAGCCTCGGGCTGGCCGGGCAGGTTGCACATTGCTCTGGGCATCAGCATGCCGTGTTGCTGCCTCTATTGCTGGGATGGAGCCAGCGTTGGCTCTGCTGTGGCTCCCTGCAGCGCTGGCTGGGGCTTGCCAGCCAGAAAAGCTGTGGTTGGGGTGAGCGGAGGGGCTAGGGCTTGGTTTGGGGTGCAGGTGGCACCTCACGCTCGGGGCTGTGCAGTGGCCAGCACAGAGCTCCCACCCCAGTGGCCGGAGGCTGTCAGTGTCCCCGAAAGCTCTCCTGGAGGAAGAGGCAGCCACTACCCTGTGCTGCTGGTGTGCAGCTCCTGCTCCTGGGAGCTATAGGGTACCTAATAGCCACTTGCTATAGGGGATTGTATTATTGTGGTGACCCTGGAGCCCTGGTTGGGGCTGTCGGGGAGCCAGCATGGCAGGGGCGATGCCACCCCCGCACACCACACCCGCCACTTGCCCCCCCCCCCCCCTGCCACTTGCCCCGAGTGCTGGCCTTTGCCCTCCCCACCCCTTTCCTGTTTGTGAAGGGGAAATGAAGGGCTTGCTCAACGCTGCCCGCTGCAGTGTGGCTTCCCACCGTGTGGCTGAGTCTGCTGGTGGCCTTGGTCATCAGGTACCTCCCAGGTCTCCTGTCCCTAGTGCCAAAAACAGGGGTCCGAAACCACTGAGCCACTGGGGACCTGATCCTGGCACAGGGTGGCACTGGGTGCTCCTGGCTGAGACCCATGGGCAAAAAATTGGGGGTGTGGGGGTGGCTCATGCCAGTGAGACCCTGAAACAGCCCTCTGGCACCTCAGGCAGAGTGACTCGTGTGCCCGCTCAGGCAGCGTGGCACAGCCAGGCTCCATGGCTCATTTCAGAGAGGGGACCTATCTCATTTTCCCCAGGGAGGGGGCTGGCTGGCTGGCCCCACACTGGCAACACCAGTACTGACTGAACTTGTGCCCCATCATGTCAGCGCTGGGGGTGACGGAGCCTGGATGGGCAGCCACAATCATAAGGGGTTGTGCGGCAAGATGCTGTGCATGGCGGGGCAGAGGGCTTGGGCTTTGCTGCCATGCCTGGGGCACCCTGGGAATGTTTTGGAAAGCACCCAAGGGTGGATGTGGGGAAAGGTGCCCCCCAAGCTTCTCTGCACCAGCTTTGCTGCCCCATGCTGGGATGCTGGTGGTTAGTCTGCACTGGGGGAAAACTGAGGCATGCCCCCCCCATAGCCACGGCACTGCGGGTGTCATAAAACTCTTATGGGTGTCATGGTGGAGGTGGTGGGGGCTCTGCCTTTCAGGCTCTGCCCTAGTCTGGGGCTGGCACAGTGCTGGCAGCTGCATCACCGTCCCCGGAATGGCTGGGACTGTGACATCCTGGGGCTGCGCGATGTCGTGTTGCTGTTGGCTGCCAGGAGAAATTGCTGCAGCAGCTGCAGCGGCACAGCTGGGGGCGTTTCAGCTCCGGCCTCGTCTCAGGAGGGGATGCTGTCCCCCCCGGCCAGACTTCCTGGCCATATCCTGCCACCCATGTGGCCCTGGAGCCAGGCAGAGCTGAGCGCCTGCGCCCTGCTGCAGCACTGGCTCCGGCCCCTGCTGTGATAGCCCCAAGCCACCGTCACGGACCTGCCTCTTCTTCCTTCTCCTTGTCATCACGTTCTCCTGCTCTTCACCATCACGGGCTCCCCCACGCCACTCCTTGCCGTCACATGCTGCCTGTCCTTCACAGCAAAAGTAATGATTGCAGCAAACCCAGAGCCTGTGCCTGCGTCCGCCGCATGCAAACAGGTGTGGTGGAAGTAGAGTTTGTGGCTGGATCTCACCAAGCTGTGGCAGGACCCTGCCCTGTCCCCTCCTGACATGGGGCAGGGACTGCAAGGGTGCATGGTTTGTATGTGGATTTGGGGGTTGCAGCTGGATCCCCCTGAAAGTCCACACTCCCCTTGCTGGCTGTCTCGCAGCCTGGGCTCAGGGCAGGTCTGGGCTCACCATCTCCTCTGTCTGCTCTCGCAGCCAAGAGGCCAAGGAGGGGATGTGGTGGGTCCCTGGGTGCTGGCACTGCGGACACCAGGGCTGTTTGACCCTGCACTGACACTCGCAGGCAGCATGGGGACTGACCACAGCCAAACCCTGCACCAGTCCTAGGAGGGCAAAGCGTTGATAGGGAGCAATAAAGGCTTAAAACGTCCCTCTCTGAACTCAGCGCTGCAAGCTGGAAAAGAGCCAGGGACATCCCAGTGCATGCCCTGGGGGGCTCGGGGAGGGGTCAGGCATTTGGGGGAGTTGAGGCTTGGGGAGCACCCCAGGTGGGGTTTTGGCTTCTTTGTGACCTTGGAGGCTCCTGCTACTCCTGGTGCTCTGGCCATCTCATTTGGAGCCATGGGGCAGTGGGTTAATGCCGAGGCCAGGGGCCGGTGTGTTTGCAGGCTGGTGGGCACCTGGGTACCACCTCTTGCAGCACACGGGCTGGGCACAGGAGTGCGGAGCCCCGGGGCTGTGATTCTCTCACGGTGTCCTTGGTGCCTGGTGCTAATTCACCGTTAAATGTGTCTTGTCGTCATGCGCCGGGATCTGATACAACTGCTGTTGCGGCTAATTGCAGAGGAGCTGCTGAACGGGGCTGCCAGCGGTGTTTAAAGAAGATACAATCAAAGATTAGGCAGTGCCAGAGCATCTCTGCCACCCCGCTCGGCACAGGCTCGTAGCTGCGTTGCAAACACTAATTAATTGAGCCTTGTAAACACCACTGTGAGGAGGGTAAATATTGGCAGGTGCTGTGGATGAGGGAGGGCAGAGGACGGGCGGCCAGGCTGCAGGGATGTGCTGCGCTGCAAGGGGATGCTCTGCTGCGGGCTGCCCTTGGCCCCAGGTTGCCCCTTCAGGGGGCTGTGGGTGTCAGGCAGGGCTGGCCGCGTCCCAGACGTCTGCTTCCCAACCTAGCAAAGAGGCTGGGACCGCAGTGCCTGGCTAATGCCACCTCCAAGACACAGTCCTGGTGGCTCTGGGGCATCGGTGCCCCCTCCAAGGGAGCTCTCCCAGCCCCGGCTCTGCCCTTGGCTTCCAGGGAACTGAAGCAGGTTGAGGCTGTCCTGGGTGCTGCTCTGGAGATGGGGAGGAGGTGAACAGCAGCAGTGGCTCTGTGCTGCTGGAGACCTCCAACTGCCAGCACTGCCATGCCCAGCAGCATCCACCCGAATCACATAAAGTGCCCGATGCCCAGGTTATGGCAGGCAATGGACATCATTTACCCTGCTACATCCAGCACAGTGTGAACCCCAGAATGTCCCACCTGTGCTCTGGGCACCACTTAGCTCCTGGGGACCCAGGGACTGGCATCACCAGAGCAGGGAGGTGGCTTTGGGGGTCCTGGGGGTTGCGAGAGCTCACGACCCTGTGGTCTCTGCAGAAGAGTGTAAAGGAAGGGCTGTTGCTGAAGCAGACGAGCTCCTTCCAGAGGTGGAAGAGGCGATACTTCAAGCTGCGGGGCAGGACACTCTATTATGCCAAGGATGCCAAGGTAGGCTCGGGGGGGCCTTCAAGCATGCTCAGCTGGGGGGGCTTGAGCCTGCAAGCCTGGGGAAGAGCCCAAAATCCCTACCTGGTGGACTGGGGCTCTGGTTTCTTTCCCGCAGTCCCTGATCTTCGACGAGGTGGACCTGTCTGATGCCAGCGTGGCTGAGACCAGCACCAAGAACATCAACAACAGTTTCACGGTGAGGGAGACGCGGGGCTACCCTCCATGCCTCTCCACCTCAGCACCTCATGGAGAGGCACCGCAGACCCCCCCCCCCCCCCGCCCCGCG